TTAGTGTTACCTTCTCAGGTAGATGTTGGCAAGTTTTTTCAGGGACTTGGACTTGGTTTGGGTCATGATTCACTGGTTTATTTTGAGTTGGTGAGCAGTCAGCAGTATGGTATACATTGTGTTTGTTTTCAGTGCATGTAGTTTCAGGATGTTTGGTTTGTTGTTAGGATGTCTGGCTGTTAATTTACTAGCACTCAGCCTCTGATCCTTTGCCACTTCTTTACAGAAGAATGTTTAAAACATTGTCATTTAGTTTTGTTGTAACTGTGTAAACTAAAGTTATAAATATTTAAAAAATGAATAAATATAACTAAAGGTTTTATGCTTCCCAAAAAAGGGGCTATTTGATTTCTCATACATATACTAAATTGGAAGCTCTGGACAACAACAATTAAAGATTATGAATGGACAGCTTACTTTAACTGGAATTTTATTTTTGGTTTTTTGAGACAGGGTTTCTTTATGTAGCCCTGGCTGTCCTAAAACTCACCAGGCTGACTTTGAACTCATAGAGATCTACCTGCCTCTGCCTCCTGAGAGCTGGAATTAAAACATGTGTCAGACCTAATTGAAAATTTAAAACATATAAAGAAAAAACATGAAACTTTAATTTCTATTTAATAAGAGTTTTAAAACTACATCTAGGATACAGGAATGTTAAAAACGAGTAAGAAATTAACAAAAAGTTTTAAGATTGCATAAGAACTAAAGATAAATTCTTAAAAGAAAAAGAATTTAAGCATTCTCAGGCTATGTTTTCTTCTCTGACTTCTCTTCCTTCTTTACCTTCAAAGACAACACAATTTTCTATCAAAGAAAAGAATTACTGCAGACTATTTTTAGGATAAAACCTAAAGAGAAGGGTGCTGGAGAGATGGCTCAGAGGATAAGAGTACTGGCTGCTCTTCCAGAGGTCTTGAGTTCAATTCCCAGCAACCACACGGTGGCTCACAACCATCTGTAATGCGATCTGGTGCCCTCTTCTGGCATCTCGACCTTCATGCCAGAACACTGTATACATAATAAATAAATCTTTACAAAAAAAAAAAAAAAAAAAAAAGCCTAAAGAGAAAAGAGACGCTACTCTAAAATTTCCCTGCTGATTGACTCTTAAACAAGAAAGGAAAATAAACTAATCCTACCTAGCAGCTTTATCTTGAAACTTTCTCCTCTCCCTTCTTACATCTCAAAGATGCAGAGTTTTAATTCTACTGTGCAGGTTCTTCCTGCTGGATGTAACCTATACTCATTGTGTCATACATGTCTATTCATGGCAATTGTTTTCATGTAATTATATTTGTCATTTTGCATTCTGAAAAAGAACTAAGTGATAAAAGTCTGATCATTTCATCTATACATTTAAAAAAACTTTACTGTGTGCTTCTCTTAGGATGCCTATTTTTTTTTTAAGATTTATTTTATGTGTACAAGTGTATATATGTTTAACACATGTATGCCTGCTACCCAGGGCATTGGATCCCCTGGGACTGGAGTTATGAATGGTCATGAGCCACCTTTGGGTGCGTGGAATTGAACCCAGGTCCTCTGCAAGTGTAACAAATGCTCTTGATTGCTGAGCTATTATTCCAGGCTCATTGCCAGGACTAACTTAAAACATGTAAGTAAACAAGAATGTCTGAGAGATATACACATACTGCTTTATAATAAATATAAGTACTTTTAACTCCCTGAAATGTATTAAAATGGTATTTTTTATCTATAAATTTTTTATAAAATCTTAAAATGCTACCTGTATATATAAAATGAATAGCATTCATTGGCATCACAATGAAAGTTCCAGTAAGCTATTAAATCTTACACTGGATACATAGATTTTAATAAGGATTTCTTCTAAAACCTGGTGGGGCATGTCCTTCTGTGTGCTGTGAATATATATTTCTCTTATTGGTTGATTGTTAAAGTTGTTTCAGATGAAGGACAGGCAGGATTTAGCCAGGTGGGAAATCTGAACAGGGACAGGGACAGAGAAAGGAAGTAGGTGGGATCAGGGAGATGCCATGTAGCTGCCAAGGAAGCAAAAGACTGAGGCATCACCAGTAAGTCAAGACCACATGGAGATACACAGATTAATAGAAGTGGGTCAATAACAGAGAGCTAGCCAATAAGAAGCCTGAGCCATCGGCCCAACAGTTTATAATTAATATAAGCCTCTGTGTGTTTATTTGGGACTAAATAGTCGTGGGACCCACTGGGACAGAAACTTCCATCTACAAAAATCAGTTCTGGAAAAGATTAAAATTTTATTTCACTTTTTTAAAAAGTCAAGGGTAACAAAAATAAAACAGCATCAAAATACTTTATGTTGACTCAATTCTTTGGATGCTGTGGTAAGAATTATTCAGTTGGAATGATTTCCTTTAATAAGAGTGCTCTTAGTGTACAAGTGATCGATGCAAGATTTCCGATAAGGCTGAGATACATCTGGAATGATGGATATGTTTGCCAAAGATCCTAAGTTGAACTTCCTTTCCATAATGAAAATTATAAGAGCTTTAATACCATCAAGCAATAACATCAGACTGGGTATACTTACTCTGTATGTATATAATCCTATGTTTTGTTTTTTTCATTTTTTTTTTCTTTTGGCATTATTGGTACTCAGTGGTTACAAACCCCATCCAACTCCATCTTTCCTCCTTTAATCTATCCCATTACTGGATTTTTCCCTAAAAATTGTTCTTTTGTACTTTGTCATGATCTCAATGTATAACCATAAGTTGGGATTTTTGTGTGTCTTTTTTTTTTTTTTTTTTTTTTTTAAGGCAGTCAAAAGGACCATATCTGGAACAATTTACACATAGTTTTGGTTTTCTCAACTTCAGTTCTTTCTGGGGCCATTGATTGGCACAATCACATTATTCTTGCATTGACAGCTTTTCTTTAGATTTATTTATTTTTGGTGTATCAATGTTTTACTTGAAGATATGTACCACTTGTGTTTCTGGTGCCTACAGATGTCAGAAGAGGTTGTTAGATCCTTAGGAACTGAGGTTATGGATGGCTGTGAGATTACCATGTGAGTGCTGAGAATCAGAACCAGGTCTCCTGCAAAGAGCAATTAGTGATATAGGGATTCAAGTCAAATCCTACAACAAAAACTCCAAAGCCTTCTTCCAACCAACAGACACAACAGGAAGAGAGTTTTATGGTCTTTCTTTAGTAAGGACTACACTCCTCCTTAGCATGGAAATTATACAAAATAGATTATTATCCTTTAGCCCCTCAGAAAGATTGTTGAGACCACAGCTCTGAGGATGGAGTCAAGTGAGGTAGGCAAATAGGAAGTTCTAGAGGCAGACAAACAAATAAACAATCCCAAAGGAAGACTGGAAACCCTTCCTATTGCAGTCTATGCATAACAAAACAGCATACTTTTTAAAAAAAAAAGGAAAAAAGAAAAAAGAACAAAACAAAACAAAAACCCCTACTTTCTCTAATTGCCAGAAAAGATGGGAGCTATATAAATGTGCTATAAAGGATAGAAACTCTTAGCCCAGGGCCTTCCAGCCTTAGACCTTTACCTTTCCTTGAGCCCACTCCCCTCCTGGGGAATATATATATTTTTTCCTAGTAAATGATCTCTATTTCCATCACAACACATGTGTCTCTGGTCCAACTTTTGTTCCAGGAGACAGGAACCTGAGCATCTTAGTGGGGGTACACTCTGGGCTCTGACCTATGCCTACAACCAAGGTTCTCTTAGGATTTATGTTTTGGCATGTCTTGTTTTTATAAAAAGGTATGCTTGTTTAATGGCATTCTGGGAAACATTTTTGGTTTTAAAAATGTACCAAACAGGTTTTTTGTTTGTTTGTTTTTTTGAGACAAAGTTTCACTATGTATCCCTGTCTGGCCTGACTAGCCTTAAATTCACAGAGATCTGCCTGTCTCTGACTTTCAAGTGCTGAGATTAAAAGCATGCATCACCCTTCCAGGCTAAGGCTAGTTAATGAATATTGGAAAAATGGGAAAGTTGTTTGCTTATTTTTAACAATTTTGCATGAGAAAATAAAAACCCTACTTTTCTTTTGAAGCCATAGCTCAGGATGCAATCAATAGATATATGATGCTTCATTTACTGTTTGTGACAACCAATTCAATTTCTTATACACTCAAGTCCAAATTAGAAGTATCTGCCTCACAGTGAGATTTTATGACTATTACTTAGTTTTCTAAGTTCTAGATGTGGTAAAAGTTATAAGTTAGTACTGTTTCAACATTTGTATTTCTTCTCAAAAAAATGAAGGAGCAAATATTTTAATAAGCTTTATGAAAAATAGTCCTGACCATTTTACTTGTAGTTAACCTGATATATGTGCCTAGGTATAGCCATGACTTCTCTGAGAACTGGAAAATACTACATAATGCAAAAAGTAAAAAATGTACAACTTTCCCCAATAACTTCACTTAAATTATGTTGGCATACAGAATATGGGTAGACCAGACCACCAGCTAAATTTGCTATACACAAAAATAATAACAATTTGAAGATCAAAGAAAGCAAACCAACAAACTTTAACTGGTGAAAGGGGCTACATTCCACAGGTGCCATGGAAGAGCTTCTGGGGAGATAATAGATGGTCCACCCCTTTGATTGGCTGTGGGCCACACAGCCACAGACAAATTCTTGGAGGTGAGAACAGAGCCCACTCACTGGCAGGTCAGTTTGCTTACAACACTCCAGCTAGCACCAAGGCAGATAGTGAGGAGCTACCTAGAATCCCACAATCAGGTCTTTCTTTTTCTTTAGAAAACCATCTGTGAGGTTAATATAGTAATATAAATCAAAGCTGACACAGATAAGTGCTGGCTCAAAGTCAGCCATCAGGATATGGCATTTTGCTAGTCCTTAATGACTTTGTTCAATATTTAATCAAAAATAAGAAAGGTATAATTAACATGCAACGCTTGTAAAAAAAAAAAAAAAAAAAAAAAAAAAAAAAAAAGAAAGAAAGAAAGAAAGAAAAAGAAAAAGAAAGAAATTTCCATGAATGACCAGCACAAACTGTTAACCTGTTAAGAAAAGCCCAACTTCTCCACCATTCCAGAATATAAATATATACCGCATCTACTTCTCTGTAAGCATCTTAGGTCGAGGACAAATGAGATAAAGCCAGAAGTTAAGCAGCCAACAGACCAACTGTTCATTCTCTGTGTGTCTGAGTCATTCATCTCTTGTGATGGGCATGGTGTTTTGAATATGCAAGTCTTTGGGGACTTCTTGACCATCTTGCCACAACTACAGTAGGTGCTTTTTGTTTTCTTGGTAGAGTAATTCATCAGTGCTTCCTTTGAGGTTCAAACATGATCACTGGCCAGGTCCCAAAGAGAAACTGTGGAAACAAGTGAGAACAAAATGAGAAGAGAGTATTCTATGCCTGAAAAGAAATGAAGATTTACAAACCCTGGAGGTGTGTGTGTGGGGAGGTCTGAACTGCAACACATGTAGGGTTTGTTAGTATGAATACCCCGAGCACAGCAAGAGCCTTCCTAACTTGCACAGACATCAAAAACTACTTTCACTCAATTCATTTATGTATTAAGCATCTACTTTGCCAAGCATGGAAGTAGAAATTTAATCTGTTATTCCTAAAGCTATTTGGTGGTGTGGGGTTGGGGGTTTATGTGCACATGCACATACGTGAATGCAGTGTTTGTAGAGTCAGAAGAGGACACTGGTGCTCACTGGAGTGAGAGCTGGCTGTGAGGCACCTGATGTGTGTGTTGGCAATGGAACAAGGGTCCTCTGAAAGAACAGAACAGGGCGTGCTTTTAACTGCTGAGGCATCTCCTAGCCCTTTAATCTTTCATTCTTAAAATAATGCTGTATCGTTGCTATTAAAAGCTCCATTCTGTTAAGAAACCCAGGTTTAAAAGACAGATTTGTTTAAGATCACATAGTAATAGATGGATAATGAACATCTCAGACTTGTTCTGAACATGTCTGCTGGTTCCAAAGTCTGTGCTCTACTGCCTGTCTACTGCTCCATGGTTCCCTGTTGTCTCTTACATCCGTTTGATCTTCTCAAGACTATTACCATCTGCCCTTTACAACACAGACTTACCTTTACTTTTGGCCTGTATCTCAGGTAAAGTGTTCTTGTATATAAACTGTTAAGAAAAGTAAAAAAAATTCTTAGACAACTCAACTCATAGACTATAACTTCAGGGTGTTTGTTATTTAGTACCAAGCATCTTGTTATAATGCTCCATGTGGTTGGTATCACAATTCCATCTTTGCAAATGCAGCTGTAAGCATTAATCAAATAAAGGGATGAGAAACCCAGAAAGGCAACAGTTTCTTTGGTGTCTGTCTTTAAACTGAGTCACTGTTGGAGGTGAGATTAGATCAGTAAAATTTTCATATAGTAAACACTGCTGAATCTTTTCCCTGAAAGTTACTGGGTTGTATGTAATATACAATATAAATAGACTTTTTATATTTATGTATAATACATTATTTAAATGTATTTGAATAGTAACAAATATATTATTACAACATATACAAAACCTAATTTTCTAGTATTTCAAATAATGCAAAAGTCAAGAGAACCTACATATTAAATTTATAAAATTTAACATGGCTATGCTACATTTTCCTGTACTAAAGCTGGAACTGCAGTGAATGGCATTTTAGATACTGCTTGAACATTTGCTAGCTATAAAACTTTGAACTTGTTAATTGCTGATATTTTTAAGTATTTATCCAATAACAACAACAAAAAACCTAAACAACTGCTTTTGTGGAAAGTTTGTTAGCACAGTTTAGGCCAACATTAATGCAGAAGCAATTCTTCACTGGGCATGGCGGCACTTGCCACCACTTGCCTAGTATTCAGTAGAGGAAAGCGGGAGGGTTTTGAGTTTGAGGCCAACCTGGGCTACTTAGGCCATCCTAATCTACATGAGGGTTGGGGGTGGGGGTAGGGGAACAAGTCCTGTTCAACTTAATCATTTCAACAATTAAGTTATTAAGTATTTAACAGAATAGGAAATAAGCAATTTGGCTTTGTCTTTTAGGTAAAATGGTAGACTAGAAGTTGCTTCCATGTGACCTGGTTAAGGGGGAAAGCCAAGAAAAGTGAGAATCTCTCTCCTCTCCTCCCCTCTCCCATCTCTCTGAGCCTAAAGCTAACCTGCATGTTTCTTGATCTTATTTCCACATTTGTTTCTTCCCAATTAAAACCAGAAGCTCTTCAGTACCTCAAAGATAGAACTGAAGGCATTTGGTCCTGTGGTACTTTCTGGTATAGCTATACTGAATATAGTCTATAGCATCTTTACAAAGATGCTCTTTCACATGAGAGTATTCAAATAATCCAGAGTATTTCACAAAACTAAGGCACCCTCCTAATTCACCATGATACAACCCTTCTAAGCAGGTAATTAACATCACCTTCAAGCTACTGGTTTCCATTTTAACTGTCCCAAAGATTTCCTTTTCTTTCTGTACTGGGTTCTGAACCAGACACACACATACCAATAGGTTATACCTTAACAAGTTTGTTTTCCTTGACTACAAGAGTTCCTCAGTTTTGTGTCTCATGCACTTGCTAGTCTTAAAGAACACATGTTTTTCATTCTGTAGAATAACCTTCAACTTTTATCAGTTGTCCCTCAAGGTCAGACCCAAGCCATGAATTTTTGGTTCAAAGTAAATTTTCTTCATTTTCATCCTTTGGTTTCTTTTTTCTTTTCCTTTTCTTTTCTTTTCTTTTTTTCTTTTCTTTTCTTTTCTTTTTTTTTTTTTTTTTTTGTCTTTTTATTTTTTTGAGACAGGATAACCAGAGCTGTGCTGGAACTTCTTCTGTAGTCCAGGCTGGCCTTGAACTCAAAGATCTGTCTGCCTCTGCCTCTAGAGTACTGACATTCCACTACTTGGCTTCTTTTTTTCTATAAATATTTTAGTTTGTCTCCAAGAAGAATCTGAAGCTAAAATGTGCCATTGGTAAAGAGATCAGCATATACACATTCATTGATCAAAAAACATTATATACTGGGTGCTGACCATAATATGCATGCCAGTCGTTATTCTGCACACTTGAAAGGTGGCAATGAACAGGCTAGTCCCTACTTGGATGAACTTATACAGGGTTGGAGAGGAAAACAAGTAAATACAAACATAACCTGTCATAAATATTTTGAAGGGGCTGGAGAGATAGCTCAGCAGTTAATCGTCTATAGCTACAGTTCCAAGGGACCTAATGGCCTCTTCTGGCCTTTGCAGGTACCAGGCACACACACATGGCACACAAAAATATGAGCCAGAAAAACAAAATAAAAATAAAATAAATTAAAAAATACATGCAGGCAAAGCAAAATAAAGATAAATAATTTAAAAAAAAATCAACCAATCAATCAAACAAATAAATGAACGATTTGAAGAAAGATAAAGCCTAATAAGTGGGAAAAGGATGCTATGGAAGTATGACTGGATGGGGTGGCCAGTATGAACTTAAGTCAATTTTGCCAAAAGTATCTAATCCTAAACAGTCTCAAAGAGAACAAAGTGATAAAAAACTTATTTCTGGAAAAGGGTCCTTCTATCCCCAGAAGGTCCAGATTGTCTCTCATCAAGACTTGGATGTACTGGGTCTCTTGGATACAAGTCAGCTGTGAGCCATCCATTTGGAATACACATTATATATTCCCAACTATAACCTGCTCCATGACCCTATAATTGTGGGAAGGGATTTCTTGTGGTCACCCAGTGGCAAAGGCAGTCCTGGAATGCTGATTTTGTCTCCAACATTTTATATTTACACCTTCCTTCTAGAAGTATAAAGTTAAAAAAAAAAAAAAAAAAGCAAAACTCTTCCAATAGTAAGTTAAAAAACCTTTTTTTCCTACCTGAAAAGGATGTGAAGATAAGAACCCAGGCCAGTAAAAATGTGCCACCATGCATGAAACTGTGTTGTAACACCTAGGATAGGGGGCGCTTTCTTTCGAAAGTTCCTGTGTGGAGAAGGGGGAAACCACTGTGTTACAATTGAAGATATACTGACAATGTTACAATTTGAAATATTCTAAAATAGGCAGTTATTTAATTTCCTCATATTCACTGTATTGTTTTTTTTTCTAAAATTGTATTGTGGAACAAACAATATTTTCAGAAGTTTCATGAAGAAATGACTCAAATTAATGTAGAAAACAATTTATTGACCTCTTATTAATTTTAATGCCTATTAATTAATTAAAGGCTTTGAAAAGTCTTACCATAGAATCTCTCATTTTGTTCTAGTCACCACTAATCCATGGTATTTTTTTAAAGGTAATACTTTATTAATATTCCAGAACAACTATTTTCTGGAACATACTTTGAGAAACACTAGTCCAGTTAGCTATTTGCTCAGGAAAAAATACACATGCATTTCTATCTATGTCAGTATACTACTATATAGTCTATAATTCTTTTAATATCTATGATTTCACACCTAAGTGCTTCTTTGAGGGAGCAGTCATTAGCAAAGCTATATATGGCAGGACTTAAAATTTGTAGATTAGTTTCCCAAGTCAGTCACCTAAGAGTTCAGATGGGTCTCAAGTTCTTTTGGTTAAAGAAGTATGTATTATACTAATATTTATTAGAGAAGAATACCAATGTGGAATGCTAGCTTGAGGTCATACAGTAGGTTAGTGGACCACACCCAGGGAATAACTATCCACTCAGCATAAAAATTACTCTCTCCTAGGCATTCTGCTGGATATTTCTAATTCAGAAGCATGCATCTAGATCTTAGTTACTTACTTTATTCTTTCCACCCTGCACCCCACCTCCCAGGGTATCATGTTGTCTAGGCTAGATTTCATGTCTTTAACCTCCTGCCTAGAGTGCTGGGATTATGGGCATACACTACCATATCCAGCTAGATCTTAGTATTTAAGCAAGGGATGCATTTACTTGTCTACATTTATACTACTTTTTACTATAGGGATCTAAGCAAAGTATATACTTACCTATATTTAAAGTCCCACAATTACATATGTAACTTTTTAATACAGGAAGTTATTGAGAATTTCAAACACATTCAAAGGTATGCAAAGTAAGAGCCTTATGTGGTGGTATTTTCTGGTAGTTCTAGCATTTGGGAGATGGAGACATAAGGGCATGGAATTCGAGATCATTCTTAGTTACTTAGTGATCTCAAGGCCAACCTGAGCAATATGAGACCTTGTCTCAAAAAAAAAAAAAATCACCCTCCTCAAAAGTAAGCAAAATAATAATCTATTACCAAACCAGTTGTAACGAGTACTGTTTTTCTTTCTGCTGTCGCTGGTCTTGTCCCGCCGCCATGCCGCCAGCCCCAAATAATACACAGAGACTCTGTATTAGATATAATGTTGTTGGCCCTGTTACTTGTTTCTTCTCGGCTAGCTCTGCCATAATTATTAACCCATTTTTGTTGATCTATGTATTTTCACATGGCCTTCTCTTACCGGGGAGGCGGCTGGCGTCCAGCTCTCTCCAGACTCTCCATCTTGACTCCTCCTTACTACTTCCTATTTCCTCCTTGTCTCCTAGTCCCTCCTACCTTCCTTTCCTATTGGCCAACAGTGCTTTATTATTAACCAGTATGAGAAACATATACAGAATGACATCTCCCATCAACCAGTAATTATCAAATTATGCTAAATCCATGTCATCTGAATCTTCATCTCTGTTTCTCTCATTACTTTGAGGAAAATTCTAGATATATTTTATCACTAGTTATTTCAGAATATGTCACTAGAAAAACTTCTTTAAAACAGCTACAAAACTATTTTGCATCTAAAATATTAGTAACCCTTAAGTATAAAAACTTAATTATTAATCAAGTTCAACATTTCTGTTTATGTTTTCACAGTGAACCAAGATTTCAAAAGGCTATTAACATTGTTAATCAAGGCTTCCTACACTCAATGGCTTTGGTTTTTGGTGTTAATGATCCAGTCCAGACTCTTATGCATACTAGACAAGCACTCAACCATCTGAGCTATATCCTTAGCTTTCATTATATATCTTTTAATCTTAGGTTATATCTCCCTCTTTCTCCCCTCCTGTAATATATCTGCTGCAGAAACCAGATCATTCAACTTCTAGGTTTCCAAAAGTCTAAACCTTGCTGTTTGACACCTTCCTTGGAAAGTTTTACATGCATTTCAAATGGTTATTATAAATCATTCTTGTTTACTTGATTAAGCTGTTTAGGTAATTTTCTTTCTTTCTTTTCTTTTTGTTTTTTAAAGACATGGCTTCTCTGTGTGACAGTCCTGGCTGTCCTGGAACTCACAGAGAGCTGACTGCTTCTATTTCTTAAGTGCTCGGTGAAGTCATGTGTTACCATACCAGCTTGATTAAGTAGTTTTCAAAGACACAGTAAATCTGTGATTCACTGTATAGTTTTGTGATGCACACATAAAAAATAACCCAAGATCATAAAATATTCTGAGGTTTAAAATTTCAGGCAATTTAAATAGGTATTCCCAGAGTTTAATTTTACTGTGCTATACAGTGTCAATATTGGTAAAATTACAATTTTAGGATGCTATTGTTTCTACATGTCTACGAAATTTTCTGTTTCTATGTTGACAGTTAGGGTAGTTACCAATTTGATTAGAGGAGATGGCAAGTTCAGGCACCCTCTCCACTACTGCTAGGCATCTTAGCTGGGGTCATTCTTGTGGATTCCTGGGAATTTCCCTAGTACCAGGCTTCTCTGTAACACCATACTGGCTCCCTCTATCATATCTCTTTCTTAATTGTCATCATAGAATCTCCATCCAGTAACTGATGGAAGCAGATGCAGAGATCCACAGCCAAGCTTGGGCTGGGCATCAGGAGTCCGGTCCACAAGTCAGAGGAGGGAATACATCAACTAGGAAGGTCAGGATCATGATGGCGATATCCACAGAGACAGCTGACCAGAGCTCATGGGACCGCACACTCTGGGAAGTCCAAGCTCATGGGATCTCATGGAGAGCTGGGGAACATGCATGGGACTGAACTAGGATCTTTGCATGTGGGTGAGAGTTGTATGGTTTGGTCTGTTTGTGAGGCCCCTGGCAGTGGGACCAGGATCTATCCCTAGTGCACGAGATGGCTTTTTGGAGCCTATTCTCTATGGTGGAATGCCTTGCTCAGTCTTCATGCAGCAGGTGGGGGCCTGGCCCTGCCTCAACTTGATGTACCAGGTTTTGTTGACTCTCCAAGGGAGTCCTTATCCTTTCTGGGGCGTGGATAAGATGTGGGGGTAGAAGGGAGGTTGGGGGGGGGAGGGAACAGGAGGGGAAGAGGGAACAGGAGGAGCAGAGGGAGGGGTAACTGTGGTTGGTAAGTAAAATGAAAAATAATTATAATAAAAAATTCTCTGCTTAATATAATGCTTCAGAATTGTTTTCTGGAAATAAAAATATGACTTACCTCAGTGAATCACAAAAGATGTTATCTACATTCCACAATAAAAATCCCAATAAAAAAATCGTCAAGGACGTATAACCTAGGCCTCTAAGCCATGGATAAACCCTGTGGAGAAAAGAAAAGCAAAATGAGAAATCTTCAAGTCACATCATGATCAGAGGTGAGAACTAGACGTCATCATTTTTATGAGAAAGAAAAGTCCTCAGGAGACTAAGAGCAAACCTATTTATTAATTTAATGCCTTTTCCAGTCATGCATTACATACTTTAAAATTTTTTTTTGAGGTGGGTCTTGCTATGTTGTTCCTCAGTCTGATCTCAAATTTCTGGGCCCCCTTACTTCTCTTGCCTCAACCTCCTAGGAGCTAGGACCATAGCAGTTCACCACTGTGCCTAGACATTTGCTAAATTTTTAGCTATTTAATGGTACTGAGAGAGAATGGTCCATCAAGACTGATAAGTACACAAAGGAGATAATCCAATATACTTGCTCAACATTTTTTCAGTGGCATGTAAGAGATGGGAGAACCCATTAAAATGAATTGGATCACATTCTCTGCCAGGCACTGAACACACAAACACATAACTAAAACACAGAACATACTAACACACACACACACACACACACCTAAGTTCTTAATGTGTCAGGCATATTCTAAGCACTTCAGTGGGAGGCAGTTAATAAGACAAATCCCTGCTCTCAGGGAATTTATAGTATGGTTGGGGCAGGAAATGAAAACACTATTGGCTATAAATGTTTTAAAGAAAAGTAAAGTAATTGAGGTGATATGGAACAGTCTGTTTTGGTGGGGAACACTTTGGTCAAATCTACAAATACACCTATGGAGCAAGTATTCTTTTCACTTCACTGCTGAGGAAATTGAAGGGCAGTGAACTATGTAAAATATAATAACAGCCGCTTATTCACTTTTTATAGCTTTAATAAAGTAGCTTACTTGTTTTTTGAGACAGGGTCTTACAAGGTAGCCTTGGCTGGCCTCTAGCTAGGCTGATCAGGCTGACCTTGGACTTTTAATTATCCTCCTGCCTCTGCCTCCAACATACTAGGATTATAAGCATACACTACCACATCTGGTTTAGGACATACATATTTAAAAAACACATCTAGGGGCGAGAGAAGGCTCAATGTTAAGAGCATACACAGAGTTTTGTTCCCAGTACCCATGTTGATAGCTCACAACTGCCTGGAATTCTAACATCGGGGGTCCAACTACCTCTTCTAGCTTCTGAAGGTATGTAACTTACTTGCACATACTCACATACACACAAATAAGAATAAAATAAATTTCAAAAGATATACATATGAATCCAGCTTCAGTGGCCCACATCTCTAATCTCAGACTTGGGAGGCTGAGTTAGAAAGATGCCATGGTGGGAGGCCACAGAGAGAGAACTTGTCTCAAGAAGACAAAAACAAATGAAGACACATCTGTTGAGTCTATCTGTATAAAATATGCAACTACCACCGTGGTCAAAAAATAACATATCCATTATCTCAAAATCCAGAGGGAGAGGAGGGGGGAGAGGGAGACTGAGATGGGAATCATACTATAATGGCTTCTTTCACTTGGTATTGAGATTCATCCATTCTGTCAAGTATATGAATACATTATTTCTTTTGTTACTATTAGTCCACAGCATGGATAAAGCACAATTTGTTTGGCTGTCCAAATGTTGACAAACATTTCTGTTTCCCATTTTGACCACTACAAATAAAGCATCTATAAATATTACTAATTAAGACTGTGTGTTGAAATATTCTTTCATTAGGTAAAAAGAAATGGATAGGTTGTATGAGATGAATGTTTGGCTTTTCAAGACATTCTTTAAACATTACCCTTCCTCTTTTCCCTTTCTTTCTTGGTCCTGGAATAAAACTAGGGACCCTGACATGTTAGACATGTCACTGGAGGTCCCTCAGGCATTGATGGCCCATTGATGGAAAGCACAAGCCAATTCAGTTGTTCTGAATCCATGCACACCTAGGGTGTCAGTCCCTTTCATTTTACTCTTTAGTAGTGTAGTGTATCTTATTGTGATTTTTATGTCCATTTCCCTCAAAATTAATAAGGGACATTGGTTTCTGTACTTATCTGTCATCCATGCATCTTCCTCAATGTGGTATTTATTGTTTGAGTTGTAAAAGTTCTTTATAATAGATTCTAGATGTAAGTTCTCTGTTGTATATATGTTTTGGAGACATTTCCTCCAAGTCTGTGACTTGCCTTTTGTTTTCTGAACATAGTCTCTAAGAATCAAGTTTATAATTTTTTCAAACCAATTTCTTGCTCTGGTTGTCTAGCATGGCCTTTAGCTCACAGGCTCAAGTTGTCCTTTCACTGCGTTTCTTGCTCATGACACCATATCTGGCAAAAGTTTAAAATAACTTCATACTTGAATTTATCATTTTTTCTTTATAGTTTGTATCCTAATAAATCTTTGCCTAAAGTTTGCAAAGACTCCTACTAGAGTTCAGTATTTTCAGTTTCTACATGTAAGAAAGACTGTGTGGCATTCTTGATATTCTTTTTTTTTTAAAATGATCTTTAAAATTACATTTGCTTATTATTTAGTGTGGCATGTGTACACAGGTACCATGGAAGGGCAACTCACAGGAGTCAGTTCTCTCTTCCCACCATGTGGGTCCCAGGGATAGAACTCAGATTGTTAGTCATGCTAAGCCATCAGCTCAAGTGGTATTTCTACTTAAACTGGCTTATTCACTTAGTACAATACTCTTCAGGTTCATCTACCATATGCATTGTTTGTTTGCTTGTTTTTTTGAGACAGGGTTTCTTTATGTAGCCCTGGATGTCCAGGTACTGGCTCTGTAGACCAGGCTGTGCTCAAACTCAGAGATCCTCTTGCTTCTGCCTCCAAGTGTGAATGACCACTGCCTTGTACCACATGCAATCTTTTGGGCTAGTATACTCTGGACTTAGAAGGAAACTAGTCAGTATATAAAGTCTAGGCACACACAGAAAAAGTTCCAACAAAACCTACTTTCTCCACAAATGAATCAAGAGCCAGCCTGTTGTAGTCTCTCTCTCTCTCTCTCTCTCTCTCTCTCTCTCTCTCTCTCTCTCTCTCTCTCACACACACACACACACACACACACACACAAACACACACATACACAATGTAGTTCCTTCTTCAAGCCATTTAGCAAATTGGGTCCAGACTTCTATCCTTATTAGGTATCCAGGGAAAAGAGGCAGAAGGATCCCAAGCTCAGGGCCAGCCTGTGCAATATAGCAAGACTATCTTGTCTCCCAACAACAAAACCGAAAATACACTTCCCTTTTCTTAAGTTTTTAAAGAAAATGTACTGAGTTTTTAAAGAAAATGTATTGAGGCAAAAATCACAATGTCATCTGATGTTCTAAATTTATGTAGAGAAAGTATTTTAGGTAATTATATTTTAAATGAAACAAGAAACAAATTGTAAGCATGCAGAAACATTTAATCACACATACATTATGGTCAAAAATGTAAAAATGGCAGAACCACTCTGGAAAACATTTCTGCAGTTTTAAGAAAAACTAAACATACAATGTCCATATGTCCCAACAATTCCATTTTTGCGACTTTATTCCAGAGAAAACAAGTGTTTTTCCAAAATCTTGTACATAAATGTTCATAATAGCTTTACAATTGCCCCAATCTGTAAGTTACTCCACTGTGGTACATCTATACCATGAAATACTACTCAGCAAGAGAAGTATATACTATTACCTGGAGGATTATACTGAGGTTCAAAAAAAATAATCTTTAGGGCTATATTCTATATGGTTTTATTTATAAAACTTGCTCGAGAAGACAAATTATAAATATAAAAAAGACTAGTAATTGCCAGGGATTAAGTACAGGGAGTAAGGGGTAGGGAGTAGATGAGGTGATAAAGGGACAACACTAGAATCCTTCTGATGATGTGTTTTGTGTCTCAATTGTGTCAGTATCAACTTCTGGTTGATACTATATTATACATGCATTTATACATTATCTCAAAATAAAGGATTTATTTTAAAATAAAAAATGGGAAAATTGCACAGATTGTACCACTTGAGCAGAGCTGTTATGGCATGGACCTACTTAAGGTAATCTCATGAGTATTATTTAATTTTCATAAATTCTCTTGTTGTTGTTTTTGTTTTGTTTTGTTTGAGATAGGGTTTCTCTGTTTTTCCCTGGCTGTCCTGGATCTCCCTCTATAGACCAGGTTGTCCTCAAAGTCACAAATATCCATTTGCCTCTACCTCAGAGTACTAGGATTAAAAACATGTGCCTAAGATAAATCTTATTAAAGATTATGTATAACTCTTAAATGATCTTGTGTGAAATACCTGGTGGGAGGAGGTGGGATGCAGGATGGAACTGGACTATGCCTGCTAGCTAAGTGCTCTGCTGCTAAACTGCTTTCCTAGCCTGTGAAACATTTTATGACACTATAGCCTTCCTTGAGGTGTTACTTAGTCAATCAAATCTGAGAAATAAAAACATTTCTAATTTTTTAAAAGTTTTTATTTATGTATATGAGTCCTCTATCTGCATGTACACCTGCAAGCCAGAAGAAGGCATCAGCTCCCATTATAGATGGTTGTTGTAAGCCAGCAAGTGATCGTTGGAAATTTCACTTAGGACCTCTGGAAGTACAGTCAATGCCCTTAACTGCTGAGCTATCTTTCCATTCCAACAAAAACACTTTTTTTAAAATGTAGTACTTTTCAAAGTCTTTAACATCCTAGTCAATGCTATACATATTCAAGTAGATGTCTCATATATAATTTTCTTCAAATTTCTTTAATTTTAGAATTCTTGCTTTTATATGATGTACATTAATAAGTTACTTGAAGAACAAGTCTTCAATACATCATAAATGCTGGGTTATACTTTTCTAGCACTATTTTTCTAGAGTTAGGTTTTATTTTATTCCAATTTAGGCTATAGATTTATAGTTACAAGCCTGAGTATATTTTTATCAGAATGTTGATAGCAGACCCAAACTACTTACCATGTGACAATATAAATAGAACGAAGTACTAATGTAAAGACCAACATTCCATACATGACCTGAATAGGGAAGAAAAAGAAAATGATCAGTATAACTCTTCCTTCCTACCTATCCATCCATTCCATTCATCGCCCATCCATCCATCCATCCATCCATCCATCCATCCATCCATCCATCCATCCATCCATGTTGTAGTAACAAGGATTGAACCAGTCTTATATATAATAGGGAAGTATTCTGACCCACTGCCAGTGGCCTCTTATCTTTTCCCAGCCACACCATTGTCACCTATATTAAGGGAGCCTGTTGGTCTTACGCAGGTTCCCCATTTGTTAGACCAGAATCAATGATCTCTCACTAGCTCAGGTCAGCTGATTCTGTGGGTTTCCCCATCATGGCCTTTACTCCTTTGTTCATATTATTGTTCCTCCCTCACTTTGATTGTATTCCAGGAGTCCAATGTTTAGTTGTAGATTTCTGCATCTTCTTCCATCTGTTTCTGGAAGAGGGTTCTATCTTCTCTGGGGTTGTGGATTGTAGGCTGGGTATCTTTTGCTTTATGTCTGATATCCACTTATGAGTGAGTACATACTATCTTTCTGGGTCTGGGTTACCTCACTCAGGGTGACTTTTTTCTAGGTCTGTCCATTTGCCTGCCAATTTTAGGATGTCATTGTTTCTTACCACTGAGTTGTACCCTATTGTGAAATGTACCATTTTCTTTATCCATTCTTCAGTTGAGAGGCATCTAGATTGTTTCCAAGTTCTGGCTATTACGAATAATATTGCTATGAACATAGTTAAGCAAATGTCCTTGTAATGTGAATGGGCCTCCTTTGGGTATATGCCCAACAGTGGCATTGCAGGGTCTTCAGGTAGGTTGATTCCCATTTTTCTGAGAAATCATGATACTGGTTTCCAGCAGATGTACAGGTTTGCACTCTTAGCAACAATGGAGAAGTGTTCTCCTTTCTCCACATCCTCTCCGGCATAAGCTGTCAATGGTGTTTTTGATCTTAGCCATTTTGATCTATTTAAGATGGTATCTCAGAGTTGTTCTGATTTGCATTTCCCTGATGACTAAGGGTGTTGAGCATTTCCTTAAGTGTCTTTCCGCCAAATGAAATTCCTCTGTTGAGAATTCTCTGTTTAGATCTGAACCTCATTTTTTTTTATTGGATTATTTGGTAATTTGATGTCTAGTTTCTTGAGTTCTTTGTATATTTTGGAGATCAGCTTTCTGTCAGATGTGGGGTTGGTGAAGATCTTTTCCCATTCTGTAGGGAGCTGTTTTGTCTTATTGACCATGTTCTTTGTTTTACAGAAGCTTCCCAATTTCAGGAGGTCCCATTTATTAATTGTTGCTCTCAGTGTTTGTGCTACTGGTGTTTTATTTAGAAAGTAGTCTCCTGTGCCAATGCATTCAAGGTTATTTCCCACTTTCTATTCTATAAGGTTCAGTGTGGACAGATTTATATTGAGGTCTTTGATCCATTTAGACTTGAGTTTTGTGCCTGGAGATATGGATCTATTTGCATTCTTCTACATGTTGACAGCCAGTTATACCAGTACCATTTGTTGAATACACTTTTTTTTTATTCCATTGTATAATTTTAGCTTCTTTATCAAACATCAGATGTTCATAGGTGTGTGGGTTGATAAAGGGGTCTTCAATTCCATTCCATTGATCCACCTGTCTGTTTTTATGCCAATACCAAGCTGGTTTCATTACTATAGCTCTATGATAGAGCTTGAAGTAAGGGTTGGTGATGCCCCTTTATTGTACAGAGATGTTTTGACTATCATGGTTTTTTGTTTTTTCCATATGAAGTTGAGTGTTGTTCTTTTCAGATCTGTGAAGAATTGCTCTGGGATTTTGATGAGGATTGCACTGAATCTATATATTACTTTTGGTAGGATTGCCAGTTTTACTATATTGATCCTACCTATCCAAGAGCATGGGATATCTTTCCATTTTCTGATATCTTCTTCAGTTTCTTCAAAGACTTGAAGTTCTTGTCATACAGGTCTTTTGCCTACTTGGTTAGAGTTACACTGAGATATTTAATATTATTTTTAACTGTTATGAAGGGTGTTGCTCCGAAGCATGGGATATCTTTCCATTTTCTGATATCTTCTTCAGTTTCTTCAAAGACTTGAAGTTCTTGTCATACAGGTCTTTTGCCTACTTGGTTAGAGTTACACTGAGATATTTAATATTATTTTTAACTGTTATGAAGGGTGTTGCTTTCCTGAAGCATGGGATATCTTTCCATTTTCTGATATCTTCTTCAGTTTCTTCAAAGACTTGAAGTTCTTGTCATACAGGTCTTTTGCCTACTTGGTTAGAGTTACACTGAGATATTTAATATTATTTTTAACTGTTATGAAGGGTGTTGCTTTCATGATTTCTGTATCAGACCATTTATCACTTGTATAAAGGATGGATACTGATTTTCTTTTTTAGTTAATTTTCTATTCAGCCACTCTGATGAAGGTGTTTACCAGCTGTAGGAGTTCACTGGTAAAATTTTTGGAGTCACTTATAATATCATATCATCTGCAAATAGCAATACTTTGACATCTTCCTTTCCAATTTGTATTCCCTTGATCTCCTTTTGTTATCTTATAGCTCTAGCTAGAATTTCGATTATTATATTGAATAGATATGGAGAGAGTGGACAGCCTTGTTTTGTTCCTGATTTCAATGGGATCACTTTTAGTTTCTCTCCATTTAGTTTGATGTTGGCTGTTGGGTTACTGTATATTGCCTTTATTATATTTAAGTATGTTCCTTGTATCCTTATTCTCTTGAAGACCTTTATCATGAAAGGGTGTTAAATTCTTATTTGTTCTTAGATTCGGTTTGCCAGTATTTTAATGAATATTTTTGCATCAATGCTCATAAGGGAAATGATCTGTAATTCTCTTAGTTGTATCTTTGTGGGGTTTGGGTATCAGGGTAACTCATAAAAAGAGTTTGGCAATGTTCCTTCTGTTTCTATTGTGTGGAATAATTTGAGGAGTATTAATATTAGTTCTTCTTTGAACATCTGGTTGAATTCTGCACTGAAACCATCTGGGCCTAGGATTTCTTTGGCTGGGAGACCACTGATAACTCTTTCTATTTCCTTAGGGGTTATAGGTGTATTTTTGGTATGTGGTACTAGAAAATTGTCCATCTCCTTAAATTTTTCCAATTTTGTGGAGTACAGTTTTTTTGTTTGTTTTTGTTTTTTAAGTATGACCTGATGATTCTCTGGATTTCCTCAGTGTCTGTTGTATGTCTCTCTTTTCATTTCTGATTTTGTTACTTTGGATATTCTCTTTCTGACTTTTGGTTAGTTTGAATAAAGGTTTGTCTATTTTGTTGAATTTCTCAAAGAACCAACTATTTGTTTCATTTATTCTTTTTATTGTTTCCTTTGTTTCTATTTTATTGATTCCAGCCCTCAATTTGACTATTTCTTGTCATGTATTCCTGGGTGAGTTTGCTTCTTTTTGTTCTAGCATTTTCAGTTGTTCTGTTAATTCATTAGTGTGGGATTTTCTCAGCTTCTTTATGTAACTATTGAGCTACTATACCCTTAGCTCCCATTTCTTTTTTCCTTTTATTTCACACAAAGTCTTACTATGTAGACTAGACCAGCCTGGAGTTCTGGTCCCTCCTGCTTTAGTCTCACAAGTGCTGGGACTATGGCTGTGTGCTACCATGTCCAATTTAAAGTCAGCTTTTAAAAAGATGGAAGGGAGCCAGGCAGCACTCAGGAGGCAGAGGCAGAAGGATCCCTGTGAGTTTGAGACCAGCCTGGTCTACAAGAGCTAGTTCCAGGACAGCCTCCAAAGCCACAAAGAAACACTGTCTCAAAAATAAAATAAAATAAAATAAAAAAAAAGATGAAAGGGTCAGGTGTAGTAGTACATAGTAGTATAGTAGTACATACTTTTATTACTGGGTGTTTCCATTACTCAGGAAGGATCATTAGTTTGAGGGTAGCTTGGACTATATTGCTAGACCCTATCTCAAAGCCAGTCAGCCAACATACAACACTGATCTTTCTCATAATAAATAAGATTACAAATTAATTAAACACCAGAGTATATATAATAATATAGGCTATGAAATTAAAAAACAAAAAAGCTTTTTTTCCTAGCTTTGCCACTAACTAGATGAGAGAAAGCAGATTAACCATTTATCCTTTCAAACACTCACTTATTTCATTTACCAAAAAAGATATTTTAGTATGATGCTGGTTAATTTAATCTATATAATATGCTTGAACAGAAAGACACTGCATGTGTGTATTTATATATAATGTAGCATAAACAGATCAAAATCACTAGCTATCTTTTTTCCAAATGTGCTTATCATATCAGCTTCCTTATAGTCTTAATTAATAATAAAATGTACAAAGAAGCATAATAGAAAAAAATTTAACTCAAACTGCTTAGTATTGTTTTCACAGTGTGCTTTTATAAAACCTGAGGGTCAAGTGAGAAAAGACAAGTCTCCATATACTGATGTACCACATCAATCTTTAATGGACATCTACTCTTGTCAGGGAAATGAAGTAACAGGGCTCCTTGAGAGAGCAGATTTGTCAATTTGCTGCTAAAAAGGCTTTACTGGCTTTTTAGGCATTCTTTTTTATCTACTCTTGTATATGCTTTTCTTTTCTTTCTTTCTTTTTTCTTTGCTTTAAGATATTCTGGTGAATCGATTTAATGTGGCAGTTATATAAATAGTGTATTACACCTCATTTTGAAAGACCATCATATTTGGGCTCTCATTTAGAGATTTCTGGATCACCCTGTACTCTGTAGTAAAGTGAAATTTTTATCAGCACTTTCCCTCCTCAGGAAATTGAATCTGTCAAGGAGACTCCTTTGGTGTTTATTAACCCTTATCTTTTAGTTTTATAGTGTTGCTATAGCACTTATCTTTAGCGCTAAGTCAAATATTTTTAGGAGCTTTTCACCATTTATCATGGGCAGGAGTCTACATGTCATTTGACATCTTAATACACAGTTTAAAAAATACTCATTTTTATGACAATGCATGACTTATCTGTATGAATGTGTATTGTGTGCAAGCCTGGTGCCTGCACAGCTAGAAGAGGGCATCAGATCACTTGTAACTGGAGTCATTGATGGTTGTGAGCAACTGTGGGAAGTTGGGAACAAGATAACTGGCCTTTCAAAGGAAGAACACACCAGCTGGTTGCCAAGTGCCAAATAATCATCCAGAAAACATATATACAGGTAGCAATATATGTACCAATAGGTTTTATTAGGGAATATATTTGTATACACACATACATTTGTGTACAGTAACAATTAGGTTTGCTTTTTGGTTTTTGTTTTGTTTTGTTTTTCTTTAAGGCCATGAATTTGAAGAAGAGTGGGTAGAGTATATGAAAGGGTTTGGAGGAAAGAAAGGGAAAGGGAATTATAATCTTATTTATTTATTTTTGAGACAGAGTTTTTTGCGTAGCCCTGGCTGTCCTGGAACTCAATCTGTAAGCCAGGCTGGCCTCAAACTAACAGATCTGCCTGCCTTTGCCTCCCAAGTGCTGGGGTTAAAGGCATGGGCCACTACCGCCTGCCTTAAATTTCAATCTCAAAAATAAATAAATAAATAAATAAATAAATAAATAAATAAATAAAAGCAAGCTGAGCAATCCATGAGGAGGAAGCCAGTAAGTCTTACACTTTCTGTTTAAGTTCCTACCTCCATGTTCCTGTTGGAGATCCTGCCTTGACTTTCCTACATGATGGACTGTAAACCCATGATGAAATAAACCGTTTTCCTCTTAAGTTTCTCTTGTTTAGTATTTATTGCAGCAACAGAAGCAAGCAAGGATATTCTCTGTAGGTTTTTTTTTTTTATTGCAGACTAGTTCTTCATCCTTTACTTGTGTTTGATGAATTTAGTTTTTGTGGCCCACAGCATCTTGTTATGTGTCATAGGATGGCTTGAATTTACAATCCTTTTGCCTTAGCCTCCAGAGTTCTGGGATTGCAAGTATGTACTGTCTGGCTTATGACTTTCATATTTTTAAAGGTTATAGTCAAGTTACTTTGGGAAATTTCCTTCTGTGACTACAAGCTGAGGACCACATCTCTAACCACAAGCAGAATTCAAAATGACAACAAATCTTTAAACTCTTAAAGCCCACCTCCAGTATACTTCATCCAACAAGAGACTACTTCCTACCTCCCAAACAACACTATCATCTAGAGACTAAGTATTCAAACATCTAAGCCTGTGGGGGATATTCTCATTCAAACCACAAGTCATATAAGTCAGGGTTATGATCCTAGCTCTGCCTCATACTGTATTTGCCATCAGAAGGTGACTGATTTCATATCTGATCTCATTTCCCTTAAGATACTTAGGCTAATCCCTAATTTGTAGGGCTGTCAGTGAGAATAAAAGTTTGACATTTGTATGGTATCAGGCACAGTACTCCATCAATAACCCCAAACTCAAAAAAAAAAAAAAAATCCATCAAATATATTAAGGAGAAAATATTTGAGGAATTTGAAGTTTAGTCTTTTCTATATCATAATATTACAAAGACTTTTTTTGGAAAGAGAATCTAACATGGGCTAATCTGGCCTCAAACTTACTATGGAGATGAGGCTAGCCTGATCCTCCTTCCTCCATCTCCCAGGTGCTGGCACTACAGGTGTGTGGTACCACATTAGGATTCGTAAAAAGATTTTATGTGTGTGCATATAAATGAAGTTCCAGGGTTCTTTCAGCTTCTAATATTGCACCTGTATTACTGAATATCAACATCAAGTTTGCCTGTGACATTGGCTATCTCAGTTATATTCCTATTACTGATGATGCCTAGTTCCTGTTTGCAGCTTTTTAAAGTGATCATTGCTTTAAAATTCTTTCTTGAGTACTACCACATTTTAATCACAGAACTCAGGCAAGCAGCAGAGGCAGATGGATTTCTATGAACTGAAGGTCAATTTGATCTATACAGAGCTCCAGACCAACAAGGGCTGTACCAGCACATTCATAAAGCCTATGCTGGCCTTGAACTGACTTTGTAACTGAGGATGGCCTTGAAGTCCTCCTGTTAGGATCTTTTAAGTACTGGAATGTACCATCATTCTAGGCCAGTGGTTCTCAACCTGTGGGTCATGATCTCCTTTTGGTGTGTGTGGGGGTGTTGAAAAACTCTTTCACGTGGGTGACAAATCATATATCCTACATATCAGATATTTAATTATAATTTATAACAGTACCAAAATTACAGTTATGATGTAGCAATGAAAGAATTATATGGTTGAGAGTCACCATAACATGAGAAACTATATTAAAGGGTTTGCAGCATTAAGAGGGTTGAGAACTAGTATTCTAGGCTAATAGTAGATTTTTGACATTTTATCATTTCATTTTCAAAAGTTGTATCAGCATATAATTTCCTAGAGAAGGGAACCACAGACAACAGGCATGTACTGCTAAGCAAATGTTTCATAATTAAAAAAAAAATATCAGGCTGGAGAGATGGCTCAGCTGTTAAGGATATTTCTTATTCTTGCCGAAGACCAAGGTTTGATTCCCAAAACCCACATGAAAGCCCAAAATCATCCATAACTTCAGTTCCAGGGGATCTGATACCTTCTTCTGATCTTCACAGACCCCTAGCATGCACATGGTACACAGACATACATGAAAGCAAAACACTCATATAAATAAAATAAATAAATATTTTTTTTAATTACCTGATGAAATATAGGCTCTTTTACTTTTAGGTAAATCTGAAAAATATTAGAAGAAACATAAGTGAAGGAAGGTATATAAAAACCTATTCCAACCACTCTTCAAATCCCAAATCTCTTCTTCCTCTATGTTATTCCAACCAGATTCCTACCACATAAAACCAATCAGACAAGGTGGCATGGTACAGGAAGCCTAGCACCAACAGGTAGTTTTTTCCCATGTTAGCCCAGCCACGGCAAATGAAATAATTAAATATTTCAGAGGTGGGCTGCTTCTACATTGGTCTTTGTGTCACCATCAAGGAGAGTCAAGGTTATTCATGGAGCATGAATAAATTATCTCAATAGTCCCTGTACCAGTAGAAAGCATACTGTACTCAGGGACCAAAGTCAAATCTAGCTCTTCCACTTAACTGCTATAGGCTTTCAGCAAGTGTCATTTAATTTAAATGAATTGGTAATTACCTAAAGAATGGAGAACAGCAGCATGGAGAATGATATAATAAAGTTCACAAAAGGATCTAGACATACTAGATTATCAGTAAGTGAAGCCATTTAAATAAATTCCTTGTAGCCATTTCTGCTTCCAGACTATTCACTACCTAGATATACCTCCAGTTAGACAAATCCAAGTTACAGGCTCCAGTACCTTGTGTGTTAAGTTCAATGCTTTTGTGAGATTTAATATGTATATATTGTCTACAGCAGCACAACTTTTAAATGACACAGTACAAAGGAATCAAAATTCACATCAGCCCTTCAATGATTCTTACACTACCATAACAAAGTTCAGACTTCTTTAACTTGACATCCAAAGCCTCCCACAGCTGCTGTCTTCCTGTCTGGCCCCACTGCTGTCTTCTTATTTTAATCTCCAGAGAGCACTGTGTTTCTTTGAATGCATCACTTTCATGCTTCTGCATCCATAAACACATTGCTTTTTATTTTGTTCAGAAATCTCCCCCAACTCACAAATGCTTTTGAAAATTCAACACAAACTATTCCTTCTTAAGTCTTTTCTGATCTCTTTCATTTCCAGAAGAAGCAACTATTTACCATCTACCTATAAGGTTTATGGCAGTAACCTTCCTAATGCTGTGACCCTTCAATACAGTTCATGTTGTGGTGACTCCCAACCATAAAATTCTTTAGTTGCTACTTCACAACTATAATTTTGCTACTGTTATGAACTGTAATGTAAATAATATGGGTCACACCAGACCCAAAGGTTGAGAAATACTACTTTCTGGCATTCTACTGGTGTGTTGCTTTCCCCTATAAGATATAATCTCTTTGTTATCTACAACTGGGCTTAGACACTTTTATGTCTTCATTTAATGTAGCAATCTAATGAAATTTCACATAGTTTTAAAACTTAGCTAAAATTTATTTCTGAAATAAAATTCTTACTATAAAAAGACTACTTACTACCTGTAACTCTAAATTCAATAAAGAGAATGTATCTAGTCTGTGTTTATTTCAAAATACTACCTGGAACCCTTTATGTAGTGTAGGTTGGCCTTGAATTCACAATCCTCTTGCCTCTATCTCCTAAGTGCAGGGATTATAAGTGTGCACCAACAGGCCAGGCTTAAGGGTATATCTCTTCAATATGTTTTCTAGGCCAAGAATTATGGTGTCTTTATTATGTGCCAGGTCTTAATATTATAGTTAGTATAAAAAATGTTCTATTTGAGCTAGGCAGTGATGACACACACCTTTAATCCCAGCACTCAGGAGACAGAGACAAATAGATCTCTGTGAGTTCAAGACCAGCCTGGCCTACAGAGCAAATTCTAGGACAGGCTCCAATGCTACACAGAGAAACCCTGTCTCTAAAAGCCAGCAAAACAAAACAAAACAAGTTCTATTTTATCTTCATTTTATGGTAAGAAAAATTACAGCTGATAGAGAAGTAAACATATTAGATCCAAACTCACATTAAATTGATTCCAAAGCTTGATTTGTTTCTGACTGTAACATCTCTTAACTTATAACTTACATTTTTAAAGATGACCTCAAACTTTTGATCCTCTTGCCTCCCCTTTCCTAACTTAAGTTTTAGAAATGCAGACATACACCAACACACTTGGCTTTATTCAGTGCTGAGGATATAATCTAGGGTGTTCTGTATACTAGGCAAGCACTTTACCAAATAAACTACAACCACACTCTTATTATTTTATATGTATTTTTATCTTTTAATTTTAATTTTTTGTTTTTTGAGACAGGGTTTCTCTGTGTAGCCCTGCTCACCCTGAAACTCACTCTGTAGACCAGGCTGGCATCAAACTCAGAGATCCAACTGCCTCTGTTTCCTGAATACTGGGATTAAAGGTGTATGCCACCATTACCTGGCAATTTAATTTTTATATTTTACGACTCATGTAGCCTGATCCCAAAATTTTCTATGTAGAAAAAATGGCCTTTAACTTGTGATCCTCCTGAATTGCTTCCTAAGTGCTGGGATTTCAGGCCTGTCCCAACATGCTTACTCCATGTTTTAATTTTAAAAGACAGTTTTGCTGTGTAGTCTATGCAAGCCTCAAACTTGGGATGTCATGACTTGACTAAGTGCTAGGACTACAGGCATGCCTCACAACTTACATGGTTAATTGGCTAACAACCAAGCAAGAAGAAGAGAAGCCATTCTGTCTTTGTTCTACTTTTACCCTCTCTATTCAATGGGTCCTACATCCCACATACTGGGTATGTCTGCTTCTTTTCATTCCCACAACTATACTACTTCAATCTTAGTCCCATATTTTACAAAGTATGAAAATTTCATGAATTTAATCTCCAGACTCCTTTAATCTATCATCTGTAACATGTAATTTTTCTAAACTTGTCTGATTACATGTTTTTTCTATTTTATGGATCAACACTATTTAGAGAAGAAATTTAATCTCTTAAACATAGCACACATGGGATTTTATCACCTGACATTTTGCCTAACTCACTAGACCCATTTACTACTTTCCTCTACCATATGGCAATCACCTATATAAAACCTATCTCAAGCATACCCATAATTTAATTGGGCAATCAAGGCAAAGTATTCAGTAAACATCTGGCACATAGTAATTTTTAAAAAACAGCAATTCACTATGCTCTTTTAAGGTCTATGTGTATAGAAATTCAAAAGACTAAAAATGCTGTGCCACACTTTTGCCCAGAGGCCTGAAAAACTGCTGTTCATCAGTTAAAATCTAACTCAAGAGCTTCTTCTCTGAAGTTTGTTCTGACCTACTCTAAAAGCATTTTTTTTTTCTTGTTGTTGTTTTTATTTCCTTAGACACAGTCCTGATGTAGCCCATCAAACCCATCATGGCTGGTTCAAGCAGTAATCTTAGTTTTTGTTTTCTAAGTTCTAGGTTCAGAATAGAACATTATGTAGCTCAGGCTGGCCTTAAGGCCATGTACAATCCTCATCAGGCAGTATTTTTTTTTTAATTAAAATTAGAAAGGAAGCAGAGGCATGCTGAAACAAAGTCATACAGATAAAGCTGGCCTAGAACATACTATGTAGCTCAGGATTGCCTCAAACTTCTTATCCTCTTGTTTTAGCCTCTAGGTGTTGGTATAATAAACACACACACTCATCATGGCTTCAAGAGTAAACTAGATTTTAAAGCAATTTATTTATATTTTGTTTTATTATTTTGTGTGCACACACATGAACACACCTGCACATGAATGCAGGTGCTGAGAAGGCAACAGATCCATCTAAAGTTAGAATAACAGGGATTTGTGAGCCACCTGATAAGGGAACCAAATTGAGATCTTTTCTAAGAGAGGTATGCACTATGTATGATGAGTAAATGCACTCATCCTCTTTTCTCACGTCATTATATGACAGTTTTTTACCTTTATTCTTGCAGTCATCTTTTGATGCATGTCTTTGTTCCTGTTTAACTTCCCTAGTAGAATGAGTTCCCTCATGGATACCAACTGCTTCTTAGTCACTTTTATATTTCTAGTTTTTGACACAAATTTCCAATTAATATTTTCTTAATTCAAGGTTAACAATGAAAACAGTCACAGAAGACCAGGCTGGCCTGCCTCTGCCTCCTAAATGCTGGGATTAAAGGCATGCGCCACCAGTGCCTGGCTTTAAGAACCATTTCATTTTGGGAACCAATTTATATTGGGATTGGAGAGATGGCTCATTGGTTAAAAGCACTTACTGTTTTTACAGAGGCCCTAGATTCAGTTCCTAGCACCTACATGGTGGCTCACAACCATCTGAAACTCCAGGGAATCTAATATCTTCTGACCTCTGCAGGCATCAGTCACAGCGATGATGCACATACATATAGACAAAACACTCAAACACACACAAAACACAGAATAAATCTAAAAACAAACTTTTAAAAGTTTTTTTCAATTAAAAGTAATTTTTGAAAAGGAAATAAAGGTGCAAAGTCTAAAAATATTTGCATAAAAATATTTCAGTTTGAATAGCTTCATGCAAACACTGGAAACTTCCAATTTCCTACATGGCACACCTTACTGGAGATAAAGTACGACTTACCATGGTTACTATTAAACTGAATAGAACTAGAGTAAAAAGCAGATGGTAGTTTATTGAGCTCTTTGTCTTGAAACATTCAAACCTTTAAGATAAGAGAGAAATAAAATTTACTTTATAATGTATAACCAGGAACAAATTGAATGCTTCTTACAACTTGCCCACATATGTCCTTGTGATCCAGCAGTACTCACTATTTCTACCTTCCCACCCTCTGTGTTAGAAACACTGCACTGTGCACAGATTACAAGAGGCTAACAGGATCAGCAGTAGCCACATAACTTCAGCTGAGACAATGAAGTTCTCTCTTCTCCAAGTATGAAGTTGGGGAGACAAAAAAATCAATTAAGTAAAGGGACTCAAAATATGGTATCAGATTGTCTAAGCCTGAAATCTGGAGGCAGTCAAAGTGAATAAACAAGTGAATGAAAAGACTTGAAGTGTTGAGGAGAGAAAGGAATGGAGTAAAGACAAAGACACAAAGACATAACTTTCCAGTTCTGATGAGGCAAGGTTATACTCCCTTCTATTTGGTTACAGTTTCCTCATGTTTTTACAAAAAGGAAGTTTCTTCAACTCTAGTAGCTTTGTGTATTTGTGTATCTTACAACTAATGATCTATCTCTAAATGAAACTACTGAGATCACTGTACTGCTAGGCATAGTAGCTCATGCTTTTTATCCAGTCCTGGGCTGCAGCATGAGATTCAGTTGAAGAAGAGAAGGAGGAGGAAAAAAAGGCTTCTGTCATTATTTTTCCTTATGTATCTCACCAACTAGACTGTGAATCTTTTGTGTACATTGATATAATCTTATTGTTTTTTCGGACAATTACTAGGTTACTGCCCGATGAACAGAAGATTGTATGGGGGGGGTGGCCATCAGTAAGCCCCCAACCTTTAAGAACTATGTATTACGATGGACAGCAGTGCACTCTCAATTTACTAACTGCTCATAGAAACTGTACTACATGCTTATCTCCTTCTCTGTAAAGAAAGGAAAATGGAATTGAAGGTTTCTATGCTCTCTTCACCTTTAAATTCTATCTTTTTATGACTTTGAAAATGGTACAAATATGAGGCAGTATCTTACTTTTAAATTGTATGAATTTATAATTGTATAGAAGAGTTAGGCAGTGAACTTATTTCAAGTGGTCTCAAAGAATATTGTTAAGCATCATATAGCCACTCACAACTATCTACAATTCAGTTCCAGGGGACACAATGCTTTCTCTGTCCTCTATAGGCACACACATGGCACACAGTCACACATACATGCAAATCACCCAGATGCACAAATGTTACCACAACTTTATTTTATTTTATACATCTACTTTTTTCTTATATATCCAAAACTTATTGGATGGTTTCCACTCATCTTGAATCAGGATGCTTTCAGAGCTACTTCCTCCAAAAGGAGTATCCATCTCTCTGTAAGTTTTATTATCCCCCCTGTGGGCTGACACAGGAGAGTGGAGCAGCAAACACACAGACTATGCATATCGACAGATCATAGTGATTTTATAGCATCCTAGGAATTTCATATTTGTGATGTAGGAATTAAGGCTCTGCACCCAATTGGGTGCAGTTTTTCTTGTGTTTCCTCTTTGCCTCTTCTGGAGAGGGATAACAGAGATCCTTGGCAAGAGGCATGTTCTAATAGGGAGATCATCACCACCAGAAAGGTTAAATAGCTACTTTCTTCATCTGGCCCTGTCCATAAAAGGCTAGTACCTTGACTCTTTGGCTTTCTACTTCTATGTTTATCATAAAGCTTTTCCAGTACATGCTTCACAGATGAAAGCATACAAAGGCAAGCAGGTTTAAAACTAGTTGGAGGTCTAGACAGCTTAGCACACTTGATATGGTCAAAGAACATCCTAAAACCAATTCAAAACAAACAAAAAAACCAATCAGGGTCAAAGAGATTCTGACACTTGTAGTTTTCTATCATGGGCTATTTCCAGGAATATTTTACTGTCCCTCAGAGATTAACCTGCATAATGTATGTCTGGCATATTTATTAATGAAGCTCTGCTCACACCCTTGATCAAGTTGCCAAATTTCTCTGTGCTTTACTTTCTTGTGTATAAAACCAGTTCAGTACCTACTGTCCTCATTAAGTGAAATAAGGAGACAGTGCAGGGGTGGCCACAAAGCTCCATCCATAGCTGAGGAGCTACTGTCATTTGATAACTGCTGTGAAAAATACAGTCTGGTTCTTTAATGGTGTGACCACTGATATTTCAATTATAATCAAGATAAAGTCCCACACCCATGAGTAGCTGAACAACACAAATTGGACTTGATATAATAATAATAATAATAATAATAATAATAATAACAACAACAACAACAACAACACAAAACATTGGGTGGTTAGGGAGATAGGAATGGATCTGGGAAGAGTTCGGGGAGAGGGAAAAGATGATCAAAATACATTGTATGAAATTCTCAATAACTATGAGAGTACTTCACTTTTCAGGTAGGCTTTTTTTTTTGTTTTAAACTTTACATACCAATCCCCACCCCCCTCTCCTCTTCCTGCTCCCCCCACTATCCCTCCACTCCACTCCCCATCTGCTCTCCAGAGAAGGTAAGGCATTCCATGGGGAGTCAACGATATCTGTCCCATCATCACATTAAAGCAGGACCAAGCCCCCACCCCACCCCCATGTCTAGACTGAGCAAGGTATCTCCATAGGAAATGGGCTCCAAAAAGCCAGTTCATGCACTATAGATAGATCTTGGTCCCAACTGCCAGTAGTCCTACAAACTTCCCAAGCCATCCACTGTAAGCTAAATTAGGTCCTATGCAGGTTCCCTAGCTGTCAGTCCAGAGTCAGTGAGCTCCTACTAGTTCATGTCAGATGTTTCTGTGGGTTTCTCCATCATGGTCTTGATCCCTTTGTTCATATTATCGCTCCTCCCTCTCTTCAACTGGACTCCAGGAGCTTGGCCCAGTGGTTAGTTGTGGATCTCTGCATCCGCTTCCCTCAGTTAGTGGATGAAGGCTCTATGCTGACAATTATGGCAGTCTTCAATCTGATTACAGGGGAGGTCAGTTTAGGCACCCTCTCTACTATTGCTGGGGAGGTTATCCTTGTGTATTCCAGGGAATTTCCCTAGTGCCAGGTTTCTTGATAATCCCATAATGCCTCCCTTTATCAAGATACTTTTTTCCTTGCCCTTCCTCTCTATCCTTCCCCCAATTTGACTATCCTGTTTTCTTCCTACCCCTCCTCTCCTCCTCTCTCCCCTTTCACCCTCCCACAGTCCCAATTTACTTATGAGCTCATGTCTATTTCCCCTTCCTAGACCAATCCATGTATGTTTCCCTTAGGGTCCTCTTTGTTACCTTGCTTCTCTGGGGTCATGGACTATAGGCTGGTTATCCTTTGCTTTATGTCTAATATCCACTTATGAGTGAGTACGTACCATATGTACTGGGTCTGGGTTACCTCTCTCAGTATGTATTTTTCTATTTCTGTTCATTTGTCTGCAAATTTCAAGATGCTATTTTTGTTTATTTGTTTGTTTGTTTTTAACCACATTTTCTTTATCCGTTCTTCAATGGGGTATCTAGGTTGTTTCCAAGTTCTGGCTATTATGAATAATGTTGCTGTGAATATAGTTGAGCAAATGTCCTGTGGTATGAGTGTGCATCCTTTGAGTATATGCCCAAAAGTGGTACTGCAGGATCTTGAAGTAGACTGATTTCCAGTTTTCTGAGAAACCACCATACTGATTTGCAAAATGGCTTTGCAAAATGCACTTCCACCAGCAATAGAGAAGTGTTCCCTTTACCCCATATCCTCTTCAGCATAAATTGTCATTAGTGTTTTTGATCTTAGTCATTCTGATTGGTATAAGATGGTATCTCAGAGATGTTTTGATTTGTATTTCTCTGATGGCTAAGGATGCTGAGTAATTCCTTAAATGTCTTTCAGCCATTTGAGTTTCTTATGTTGAGAATTCTCTGTTTAGCTCTATACCCCATTTTTTAATTGTAATTTTTACTTTCTTTTTTTATACTTTTTTCTTATTTTACATATTGATCCCAGTTCCTTTTCCCTCCCTCCCTTCCCCCCCCCATACACTCCATAGGGAGGGTGATCCCTTCCAGGAGGGATCATCAAAAACTGTCAAGTCATTTGGAGTAGGATCTAGGCCCCCACCCCACATCCTGCCTCTAGGCTAAGGGAGTATCCCTTCATGAGGAATGTGCTCCCAAAGTCCTTTTGTGCACGAGGGATACATCCTGGTTCCACTGTCAGAGGTCCCTTAGACTGCCCAGGCCTTCTGAGACCCACATTCAGGAAGGTCTGACTTGGTATAATGCTGTTTTCCTAACTATCAGTCTGGGGGGGGGGGTCCATGAGCTCTCCTTTGTTTAGGTCAGCAGTCTCTGTGGGTTTCTGTAGCCTGGTCTTGACCCCTTTTCTTACCACTCCTCCCTCTCTGCAATTGGATTCCAGGAGTTCAGCTCAGTATTTAGCTGTGGGTGTCTGCTTCTGTTTCCATCAGCTACTAAATGAGGGCTCTATGATGGCATATAAGTTAGTTATCAATCTCATTATCAGGGAAGGGTATATAAGGTAGCCTTTCCACTGTTGCTCAGATTGTTAGTTGGGGTCATCCTTGTAGGTCTCTGGACATTTCTCTAGTCAGTTTTCTCCTCAAACCTATAATGGCTCCCTCTGTTATGGTACCTCTTTTTCTCGCTCTCTTCTATTCATTCCCCGATTCAATCTTCCTGGTCCCATATGTTCTCCTCTCCTCCCCTTCTCTTTCTCCTAACTCCCTCAACACTCAATGCCCCCACTCCCACTCCCAATATGCTCAGGAGCTCTTGTTCTTTTCCCCTTCTGTGAGGAACCTTGTATGAATCTCTTAGGTTCCTCCTCGTATCCTAGTTTCTCTGGCGGTGTGAATTATAAGCTGGTGATCCTTTGCCTTTGTCTAAAATCCATATATGAGTGAGTACATACCATCTTCCTCTTTTTGTGACTGGGTTACCTCACCTCAGGATGGTTTCTTCAAGTTCCATCCATTTGCCTGCAAATTTCAAGATTCCATTGTTTTGTTTTGTTTTGTTCCCCCTTCGCTGAGTAGTATTCCATTGTGTAAATGTGCCACATCTTCTTTATCCATCCTTCAGCTGAGGGGCATCTAGGTTGCTTCCAGGTTCTTGCTGTCACAAATAATGCTGTTATGAAGGTAACTGAACAGATGTCTTTGTTGCATGGATGTGACTCACTTGTATACCCCATTTTTTAACTAGATCATTTGGTATTCTGGTGTCTAGTTTCTTGAATTCTTTGTATATTTTGGAGATCAGCCCTCTATCATATGTGGTGTTGGTGAAGATCTTTCCCCATTCTTTAGGCTGCTGTTTGTCTTTTTGACCGTGTCCTTTGCCTTATAGAAACTTCTCTTTCAATAGGTCCCGCTTATTAATTGTTGCTCTCAGTGTTTGTGCTACTGGTATTTTATTTAGGAAGCAGTCTCCTGTGCCAATGCATTCAAGGCTACTTCCCACTTTCACTTCAATGAGGTTCAATGTGGCTGTATTTATGTTGATGTCTTTATTCAATTTGACTTGAGTTTTATGCATGGTGATAGGTATGGATCTATTTGCATTCTTCTACATGTCTATCTCTAGTTATACCAGCACTATTTGTAAAAGATGCTTTTTCCCATTCTATAATTTTAGCTTCTTTGTCAAAAGTCAGGTGTACATAGGTGTGTGGATTAATATCACTGTCTTTGATTCAATTCCATTGGTCTACCTGTCTGTTTTATGCCAATACCAAGCTGTTTTAATTACTGTAGCTCTATAATAGTTTTTTCAGGCAAGCTTTTATTAAGAAACAGTTCATGGGTTAATGAGATGGTTCAGCAAGTAAAAGCAATTATATATAGTTCAATCCTGAAGATCTATGATCAATCTCAGTATACCAGTATGGAAGGAAAGAATCCACATCTGAAAGTTGTCTTGTGACCTAACAGGTACACTGTGGTGTATGCACATACATACAAGCATGCACACTAATAACAGCAACAAAAGAAACTGGTGCTAGCTCAGTAGTTACGAGTACTAGCTACTCTTGCAGAAAACCTGGATTCAGTTTCTAGCATGTATATGGTGGCTCACACCCTCTATAACTCTAGTTCCAGAGAATCCAATACACTCCTCTGAACTTTTCATACCAGGCATGCTCATGGTACACAGACATACATGCAGGCAAAATGCTCATACAGATAAAATAAAAATATTTTTAAAAAGCAGTAACTAAAAAAGAAACCATTCATATCATAGTACAGAGAAACCACCCTAAAACATTTATGGCACAATTTGGATACATTCTTCCCTTAAGAAAAGGCAAAATGTGTATTTAAGCCAAATTAAGATACTATCTAAACTGATATTAGGGTTTTGAGATTCCTGTAGCTTCCTAAAAACAAACTTTCTCATTAATGTCATAAAATTTTTATCTTTACACTACATGTCCTAATAATATAATTGGACCAAAACCCACATTGAATTCAATTTAAAATGTAAGAACTCACATGCAGTACACAAAAATGCAGCAGCTGTAAATCATAGGGAGCTCATCCAACAGCTAAAAGAAGCAGAGAGATAAAGATGTGAATACAGTACAGCTATAACCATGGAAGTCAAAATAAAACTTCAGAATGATTATTATTGTCATCTCTTAAGCTGTAGAATGCATTACTTAGCATGTGCAGGCCCTGGATTCAATTCCTACTTGCTTTCCCCAAAATTATTAATTCTTATTTAATTTCTCTTACTAATTATTTAACGTATTCATCACTTGTATAGTTTGTTGTTTTTGAACCATCAAAGTTATCTATCTACCCCTTCTAAGACAGACATCTAGGTAGTACATCTGATTGACTTTCCCCAGAGAGCAGCCTTATAATCAGAGTCCAGGCCAAGGAAATCAGAAATGATTGTAAATATGAAGATTTGAGAAATATTTGGGAAGTAAAATAGAGATTTGTTACTAATTTTATAGATGGCTGTGAGCTGCCATGTGAATACTAAGTCCTCTGTAGTTAGCATATAAAATAATCAATTTTGAATTTCAGGATAGCCAGGGCTACACAGAGTAACCCTGTCTCGTTAGTGATGATAAGTCTTCAAATAACTAAATATATAACCTCTTCTCAGCAAAGACAGAAACAAAACAGTGTCCACCCCATTCAAATGGATACCACTGACACATGAAAGACTGCAGGCACCTAAGAATATAATGATTTTGTGAACTGCTTACAACTTTTTAGGGCACCTCCATGTAACAGTCTTCTTTAATGCTGTTCTAAAATTATATATGTCTGCACAGAGTTGGCACACAAAAATAGAAAGCCATACTACTTCTTTATATGGTCAATTTGAGTTCTTTGACCTGAAGTGATGACAAGTTCCCCCTTTTAATATTCTTTAGTTATGTGTTCTTTTCTCAAATTGGAAGTGTCTCCAAATAGACAGAAATAATCACTTACTTTTGCCATTACTCACCTGCATTTCATATTTCAGAGTCATGTGGAAACACCAGGATCCCATTCCTACCACTGAAATTAAGACAAATAAAAGGATTAGCAAGAAATTCTTTGGGGGCTGGAGTGACTCCAGAAGACAGTAAGACATTTCAAAGTATTAAGTTTTGAAATAAATAAAGTTTATAAGGTCTTGTGACAATATTCAGATGATGCTGAGTTAGTGTTATGATTGAGGATTTTGGCACAGAAGAAAACAAGTACAGTATAAATTTTTCTAAAATACTTCCTACTAAGTAGATGACTAGATAACACTACTGTATTATTTCTATAAAGTCCTGGATGCTCAGGATAAGCTTTAATGTACATAGTTGGTCAGTTTCCTTTCACACTGTCATGTACTCATCTGATCCATAAAACCTAGCAATAAAATTTAGACAGTAACAATCATGTATACAAAACTACTGTATGGACACCTAAATGCAGTTCTTTTGAGAACTTTCTTGAGAAAGTGTACTGCTGTCTCTGTGTGTGACTACTTACTAACTTTGCTTCTTTCTGTGGCATATAGTCAAGGATCCAAGGGGACATCTCAGACCCTGGTGGCAGTTTGGGGCTGTCTCTGCCACAATAGTTCTATGTATTGAGGTTTTATGCCAAGTGTGCTGATCGATATATATGCTCTAGGTCTTTCATCTATACAGAACCATTATCAGTTACCATATGGCCTTCATGTAATTCACTGACAACAAAGGTTTACACATGGTATACAGCTATTAAGTAATAAGGAAGAGATTCTAACTCAGCTTCCTTTGTAAAATATCTTATATACAACTTATATATCTAGGAAATACTTACAGGGATGGGCATAAAAGACACTTTCAATTTTCTGGCCCCAAAGTGGACTTTGTAAGCATGGCTAATAAAATTTTGTAGCTAGGTTGGGCTTATATAATAAATAATTGTATCAACAGTCCATAATTCCATTTCAAGCCAATTGAAAGGAGAAAACAGAAAAAGCACCTTCCTCCTTTTTGTAGTACTAGAGATTAATGCTAAGGCTATGATCATGCTAGGCATAGCTCTACCACTGAGCATCCCAAGCCAAAAGTTGTACAAATTGATCTCACACTATGTATGCAAGTCTCCCAAGTAGCTGGGATTACATATGCCCTATTACACCTGGTCAGGTATGTGGTTCTATTTGTCCATCTTTCCTTACATCTGGATTTAAAATCACAGAAAGTCTTTCAAAAATGCTGGACATAAATTCACACTTTTTCTTTCAGTATTTGTTATATTTTGGTTTTTATATTTATACTTCTGATCAATTTAGAATTTATTTTTGTGTATGATATAAGGTATAAAGTCAATTATTTTCTCTAGCATCAATTATAAATACTTTATCTTTGCCCCATGACTGGAGACACCATTTTATCAATATTTGGTAATCTACATATGTCCAGGAATTTGTGTATTTCTATTTTATCTCATTTGTTGGCATATAACTATTCAGAGACAGATATGGAGAAACTAAGGTATATGCTCCTAAATAAATAGTGAATTAATGAAAAATGGAAATACAGCATATCTGTAGAGTTCCTAACATGTTTCCTGTTATTTATTTGTAGTTTTACACCATTCTGATCACAAAGATACTTAATATAATTTCAATCTTAAATTGTTAAATCTTGTTTTGTGAGTCAAAATGTGATGTCCTGGAGAATGTTCCATGTAATGTTGAGGTATGCATGTATTCTGTAACTGTTGGGTGTAATGGTCCATAAATGCATTTCAGATTTATTTGGTCTACAGTACAAGTTAAATCTGCTGGGATTTTTTGTTAAGTTGAGTTTTGTCTGGATAATCTGACCATTGCTAAAAGTAGGGTGTTGAAGTCTCCTTTTTTATTGCATTATAGTTTGTTTGGTGTGTGTGTGTTTATTTATTCATGATTGTTGAACTGACCTGTTAATGATCATCTTTGTCTTTTTTTGTTTTTTGTTTTACAATTTTTACACTCAGTATTTTAGTTAACATCAGTATAGCTAATCCTTTCAGAATACATTTTTATAGAATATCTCAGCTAGAAGCAATACACAATTTTGAGTTTTGTTTTTCAATCATCAAGTAGTCTGTGATTTTTAATTGGAAATGTTAATTTATTTACATCCAAGGTAATCACTGATAAGGACTTGTTACTATATTATAAACCTTTCAGTTGTTTTGTATATACTTTTTTCTTCTAGTACTCTTTGTGGTAGTAACTTTTCTCTAGTATAGTCTAACTCTATGTATTTTATTTTTAGTGTATTTTTGCTTTATGACTACTAAGACATTACCAAGAATGTCTTATAATATGTTATGCTAAGAGATTAAAAACTCAAGTTTGATCACATAGAAGGAAGGAGAAACAACAATCTTCATTTTTGTTTGTTCGTTTGTTTTTGGAGACAAAGTTTCTGTGTAGCCCTCCATTCTGGAACTCACTCTGTAGATCAGGCTGGCCTCAAACTTGGAGATCCTCCTGCCTCTGCCTTCCAAGTGCTAGGAGGATTAAAGGTGATCACCCCCACTGCCCAGGTAAAAATCTTCATATATTAACTTTTCCCCTTCCTATATTTCAAATTTCTGATATCACAATTTATATTTTATTATTCACATAATTATTATAGTTACTTAAGCTAGCCTTAAATTGCTATGTAGCAAAGATGATTTTGAAATTTTGAACTTCCTGTCTGCTGAGATTACAGGCATGAGCCATTACATCTGCTTTACATAGTACCTGGGATCAAAGCCAAATCTTGGTGCATGCTAGGCAAGCATTCTACCAACTGAGTTATATCTCCATCCCTATAATTCCTTACCTTTTACTCTCTGTCTTCTATCTTTTCATGAACTCAAGTAACTCATATAAATGCTATTTTGATATTATTCTACAAATCCCTTACACCCTTTTCATTTCTCTTTATTTTTTTTCTCCTGATATATATATTTAAATAACCTTTCAGATTCACATTCTTTTTCATGCTTGATTTACTGTTGGTGCTCTCTACTGTAGTTTTTCATTACATACGTTATATTTTTCAGTTCCATAATTTTTGTTTGATTTTTAAAATAGTATTTCTATCTTTCCTTTAAACTTCTCCAATAGATTTCTTAATTGTTTTTTATGGTTGAAGCTTCCTTTAAAAAATTGTTTAAGATATATTTATGTGTATTAGTGTTCTGCCTGAATGTATGTCTGTGCACCACATATATGCCTCATATCTGCAAAGGACAGAAGAGGGTGTCAGATCCCCTGAAACTGGGGCTATGGATAGTTGTAAATTACCATGTGGGTGCTGGGAACTGAAACCAGGTCCTATGCAAGAGCAACAAGTGTTCTATACCACTGAACCTCTCTCTAGCCCCCGAGTTAAGCTTCCTTAAACAAACTACTTTGAATTTTTTTTGATAGATTCTGTTTTTCTGGGGTCAATCACTGACAACTTATTTTGTCTGTTTGCTATTTGTGAGGTCATATTTCACTGCTTGTTTTTGATACTTTAGGCATGAAATGTTATCTTCTCATTGAAGAATTAGATGTTATTTCAGTCTCTGCCAGTGTGGCTTTCTTTGTACCATCTTTCTTCACTTAACCTGTTCAGAAATTCTAAGCAGGCAGCTTTGCATTTCCTAAGTCTGTAGCCATTGCAAACATTTTAGTACTAAGGGATGCTCTTAGACTGGGATGTTATGAGTTTTATAAGGGCTCCAAGGTTGATTGGGGAGCCTAGCTACATAGAGCTGCAGAAGATGCAGGGAGGTTACTCAGAAGGTGTTGAGAAAGCTCAAGAAACTTGTGGCAGACCAAGTATGCATGACTCTGATGCCTCCCCACAGATGTGACAGTTCTGTGACTGCAGCAACAGGAGCTGGAGCTGACACTGGATATCCTTAAGATCTGTTGTGACATAGTAATGGGTGAACCTATGCTGGTGGCCCAGACATGCATGCATCTCCCAGCAGTTTCTCATGGAGTTTGGACAGTTCCCCAACTACAATGAGATATAGATCAGAGTTTGAGCCAAGAAAAGAGTAAATTTCAGGTCTACTGTCAAGACCAATGTCAGAAGGCAGATAAACCTCTCTGCTACTGCTCTAATATACACTATTCCTTCTGAACACTTTGGCATATGAAACAAAGCTATATTCAAGCCCTTAGTATAGGGCTTGAACTCAGGAGCACAACTGGGTGTGGGTGGGTACTTTTTAGGTCCCAGGCTCCACTATAGTTGTTCAACTTTTTGTTGAATCCTGAGGTTTTCATGGAGACTCCTCTATGAACAGATATTATGTGAGACCTCTTAATTTACTTATGGACATTATCTTTCATATGTTATAGTTTTTTTGTGTTTATTTATTCATTTGAGACTGTTTAAGTCAGGAAGATTATATTATAGCACACCATTGTTTTCAAATGAAGTATTCTACATACCTGTGAGTGCTAAATAAGCAGCAATGTACCGTTTTTCCAGTCCATCTCTAATGCTCTGAATTGCACCAAAAATAGGAGGTATGATCATAATCAGATTACTTACTGTATTCCCTATAGTGGAAAAACAAAAGAAGACATTTAGATTGACCAGTAACACTTAAGAACACATTAATTTGCTCTTTAGCAACAGTTAAATAAGGAACTCCTTAGAAAGACTGCCAAGGTACTTCAAGAAAAGTCTTTATTCAATAAAAATTTCTCAAAATAAACAAATAAAGCAAAGATACTTCCTGAAAATGAAACTAAGAATGTTTTAGAGCATAACCACTTAAGACAAATTCTAAATTCTAAAAGTAAACAAGGAAAGGGTCCCCAAAAAACCTGAGTTACAACAGTAAGTTAGCCAAAGATGATACTCCAAGTGTGGTTCTCTGTAAGCAAATTATCATATAAATACTGATATTATAACATAAAATAATATAAATAACTAGGGTTATTATTTTGGCTGTGGAACTGAAAAGCAATGAACTGAAAGTCTACATTTTATGTGCTTTGTAATATTTCATTTTCCAAGACATGAGACAAGAGATTTTTAAAATTCAATTTTTTTGTAATACAGTGGAGCTTTTCCTTCTTCCTTTCTTGTTTTTCTGTTTTGTTTTGTTTCTGTTTGTTTATTTTGGTATATTTTGTTTTTGTTTTTTGAGGCAGGTTTTCTCTGTGTAACAGTTCTGGTTGTCCTGGAACTCACTCTGCAGACCAGGCTGGCCTTGAACTCACTGAGATCCACTTGCCTCTGCCTCCCAAGTGCTGGGATTAAAGGCATGTGCCACCACTGTTACAAGCATTCTTTTCTGCCTGCCTGGTCCCACAACAGCGTCAACCCCAAATGAACACTCAGACTTATATTGTTGGCCACTGGCAAGCTTCTCTTCTTTTCTTTTGGTTTCTTTGAGACAGGGTTTCTCTGTGGCTTTGGAGGCTGTCCTGGAACTAGCTCTTGTAGACCAGGCTGGTCTTGAATTCACAGTGATCCGCCTACCTCTGCCTCCCAAGTGCTGGGATTAAAGATGTGCACCACAGCTTGGCTAGGTCTTTTTATTGGCTAGCTCTGTCTTAATTATTAACCATAACTATTAACCTATGTATATCTATATGGTCTTCTCTTACCAGAGAACACCTAACTAGCAACCTCTCTTCCAGGGACCCCATGACGACTACTTTCTGCCTACACTGCCCAGAATCCTCCACATCTCCTAGACCTGCCCTGTCTTGCTGCCCTATTGGTCACAGTGTTTTATTCATCAATCAATAAGAGAAACATATTTACAGAATGACAACTACCATCATACTATCTTTACAAAAACAAAGTTCTAAGGAACAGCAAAGAAGCAGAGTGGGCAAAGGTGTGTCACTAAGTCTGACAACCTGATGTTAATTCCTGGGATCCATATATATATGGTGGAAGAATCAATTCCTTCATATTGTTTTCTGAACTCCACATGTGTTCTGGGATGCATATGCATACCCACACATGTAAATAAATGTCATAAAAATAAAAATGAAATTCAACAAGAATAGCAAAAGAATAAAATGTCGCAAAAGTTGCTAGTAAAACAAGGAAAGAAATGATTAAACAATTCAAATTTTATTATAGGCAGAGATGAGTAACATTTTCAACATTTCAAGTGAATGATTTTCAATATAGTTACTAATATCAAGATAAATCATCAATTAATTGAAAAAGTAGAATGGAGATATTTTCTCAAACAATCAAGGATTGGAAAAATATATTTGCAACACATCTTTTCTCTGGAACCAAGTAGATAATATAATGAGTCAAAATAAGGACATTACTTATGAGAAAAGATGAGGTAAAAATCTAAGAAACAGGGACTACAACACAGGAAAGTAAAGGATCAAGAGGACTGCTGTCCAAAATATTAGGGATGGCGCAGCTGAAAATTAGTGATGGCACAGCTGAAAGTAAAAAACTGCAGGAAAATTACAAGGAAAAATAGGTAATTTATATGTCAAAATGTTGGTAGGGTATTTGATAAAATATTAGAAAATCTGTTTGGTCAAGTTGGTCTCAACTGACCCAGACATGTTACTGAATATTAGGCTAATTCAAATACATGTAATACTGTAAAGTATAACCATATATAGTTGGTCCTACATATCTGTGATTTCTATATCAACTGATTCAAATATTTTCAAAATGTGTGTACTAAACACAGACTTTTTCTCATCATTATTCCCTCAACAATTAAGTATAGTAACTATTACACAATATTTACATTGTGTTAGGTTATTATAAATAATCAAGGGATCATGGCATATGTTGAAGGATTGTGCAGACTATATAAGAATATTAGGCCATTTTATATAAGAGATGAACATCTGTAGATGTTGACATTCACTGGTGTTCAGAAGAAGGCATCAGATTCCCTGGGACTAGAGGTACAGGTGATTGTGAGGCACCATATGGGTGTTGTGTCTTGTGCAAGAGCAACAAGTGCTCTTAACCTCTGAGACAATTCTCCAGCCATGTGGTTTTAAAAAGCTGATTTAGGATCTGATTTAGCTCAGTGGTAGAGGGCTTGCCTACGAAGCACAACACTCTGGTTCACTCCTCAGCTCCAAGGGTAGGGTGGGAGCAAGGGGAACAATGGAATAAAAGAAAATTAAAAAGTTGATTTAAAAAATAGATAAAAAATGCTCTTTAAATAAGAAATATAAATGATAGCCAATTTAAGTTTACTAAACAAAATAATATATGATTGCAGACTTAAAACTTTTAAAAATTAAAAACTGCTATTACTCAGGTTCTAATCAGAATTGGTAAGACATGGAGCAATTTGAGCAGGAAACATTTACAATAAAGAGCTGCTAAAGGGGGTAAGATGTACCTCAGTTGGCAGAGTTCTTGCCTAACATTTGTGAGACACTAGATGCTAGGAATTGATTTCCAATATCACACTAACCAGGTGATGCATACCTATAATTCCAGCACTTGGGAGCATAAAGATCAGAGGTTTAAGGTTATACTCAGCTGCACTGTGAACTGAAGGGTAGCTTGGGCTGTATGAGGCTTGGTTTCAAAAATAAAAAATAATACTGGAGCCAGATCACCTGGTAAAATATACTTAAGGATCTCAAGATCAGATTATTATTAATATTAATAATATTAATTATTTATTAAAGGAAGGAAATAGAGTGGCTAGTTGGTAAGAAGTAAAGAGAACTCTGCAGAATAAAAAAAAAAGTAGGAGCAAGGAGAGCAGACCTACTATCCCTACTCACTGTGGTAAAGACAATCTCTCAGGGCTGAAATACTGACCAACAGCCATGGTTCACTGAACATAGAGAAGCTGCTGTGAGACATGCTACCAAACTTGCTGAAATCCACCCATTAAAACCTGACAGAAGGTTGGGGCATATAGTTGCACTGACAGTGTTTGTCTAGCATGCACAAAGCCCTGAGCACAATTCCTAGCACTCAGGAGAAACATCAGAAATTGAAGGTCATCATCCACTACATAAAGAATTTGAGGGCAGCATAGGATACATGAGCCCATTTCACAAACACACACATATGCTTGCATGCACGCACGCGCGCACACACACACACACACACACACACACACACACACACACACACACACACACACCTCACCCATGTCAGAAAACTGTCTTCTAAGGTACCAGCAAAAGCTGACCACCCTGCAGGTGTGGGAAGAAGTTATTGGCTATTATGTGCTTTGGACTAACTTCAGGACCTAGGTACTAGAGAAGCTTCCTGAACTTGTAGGAGCTATATGGTAGTAATTTCACATGGACTTCAAGAACAGGCACCCAAGAAGTTGCCTGGCCAATACACCAACACCCTTCTTCCTGCAATGTATCTCTAGTGCCCTCTACTGACCAAGTTTAACAACTGCTATTGTTAAAGGAACAGTTAAAGATAGTATAGAATAAATACTGAATTTAGAGCAAAGAACAGGCAATAAATTGATTCTAGCAGTTAAACTTCTTTCATCAATTGCGTCTGAACTGAACTTTGGCTGGTAGAGGTGCCCTAATAACCACATAAAAATGGGAGTCTGAGTTTTTCCTTTTCTTTTCCACATATTTTAATGTGCCTGTAGTGTTTTGTAATCTTAAGTATTGAAAAGATGAATGATAGAAAAATAAAGGCTAAATTACTTCTGCTAAGAATTTAGTTGGATTTGGAGTTAAGTTCTAGAAAAGTATATTAAAAACAGTTTATTTTCTGGAAATAAAGACATTCATTCATATACAACACAGTAGTTGCTAAATATTTACTGAATAAAAATTCTGCTTGAATATTTATTTAAATTAATTAAACAATCTTTTCTAAAAGGGCTAGAGAGATGACTCAGTAAGTAAAGTATTTTCTGTGTAACTATGGGATCTGAGTTCAGATCCCCATAAATCATGTGAATGTGGTAGCATATAACTGTAACTTTTGCTATTAGGGGTTGGAGTTGAGACTGGCAGATTCCAGGGCTCACAAGTTAGCCAATCTATTAGAAATGATGAGCTCCAGGTTCAGTGAGAGATCCTGTTTCAAAACAGTGAGGTGGAAAGTGAATGAGGACACCTAATGCTAACCTCTGGCCTCTACACCCACATGCATGGGTAAGTGAACCCTCTCTACACACATGCAAACACATAGAAGTAAAAATAATTTAAATAATCTGAGAAGTTAAGCGGTCTCTTTATATAATTTATAGGCCAGGTTACCAATATTCTAGTAATTTCAGAGTTGCTTAACAGTCATTTTTTTCAATGAAGACTCACATATTAAACTATGATTTTATGATTTGAAGCTGAAATGACTCCCCCACAAGATCATGATTTGACCACCTGTTCTTCTGCTGATGATGCTACTTTGGAAGGTTCTGGAATGTGCAGGAGATAGGGTCAAGCTGGCAGAAACAAGGTCATTAAGGGCAAGTCCTTGAAGGTTGTGTATAACCCCTCATTTCTGTCATGAACTCTGTTTCTTGGTCCACAATGTGAACAGCCTCCATCACATTCTGGCTTCCACGCCTGCCCTACCAGGACAAGTTGAAGCTAAGATA